TGGTTCAGCTGGATCCTGAGAGCTGCTGTCACCATATAATCTTATTCACTTGTAGTTACATATGCAATAAAGTGACTACTTAGGTGGTCTCATGCTTTTTCCACAATGCCTGCTTCAATATGATCGGCTTTGCTGACAGGCATGAAGTGTCTTTTCCATGCTAAATACATGTACCTTTTTCTTTATTTTTCATCTTTTTTTCTCCATACAAGATACTAGCATAAGACAGACTTCACTGTGTGCTTGTGCAGCTACCTACCTCAGCAAATGCTTATTTAGACACCACAAAACTTTACAAATTGGTTATATTTCTTTTATTAACTCACTTATCAACAAATACATTCAAGTGCAATGAGCCAAGTCCTGTCAAAGCTTCAGTCCTGCCTCAAGAAAGGTATTTTCTATGGAACAAATGCAATTTTCTTCATTCATGTTAGCTATCTCAGGCAGATTAGTCAGGAATGGAGAAGAAAAGAGATGATTGCTTGAGTGCAATGCAGAACAAAATAATGAAATTCTCATGAAAACTATAAAACAAAATCTCTGAACTATTAATAATCATCTTTGAGACCTCACAGAGGATGACGGTGATTCTGGATGACTATAGAAAGGGAAACATTTCACCTATGCATATATATGTATATACACATATTTATATGTGTGTGTGTATATAGCCATACAACCATATAAACCAACAAAACAGAGCCCAGGGAGTTACAGAATTAATTTTTATATCCACAGAGATACCAAAGAAATTAAGCTACCCACTTATAAGCACCTTGGAGATAATTAAAATGATAACAAACAACCACCATGGATTTGTCAAAACCAAATCATGTCAAACTAATGTAATTTCCTTCTTTTACAGGGTAAATCGCTTAGTGGATAAAAGGAAAGGAGAAAATGTAGCATATCTTGACCTTTGTTAAAAGTGTTACACAGTTCTAACTGACATTGTCTCAATGTGAAAAAGAAAACATCAGTGAAGATAAAATCATTGTAATGAGGAATGGCAGTACATATCCAATTAGAAGAATTAATTTTCAAAAAGTAGTTATCAAACAGGGAAATATTTTGAGATACATAGTGCAAAGATATGATGGGTCTGCAGTCAATATTTTCATTAACACCTATGTGGTCAAATAACACACACACACAAAATTTTGCAGATAACACAGGAGGAAGGGGACGGACACTGACTGGTGGAAGCAATGGTCAGAAATAAACAGGATGAAATACTCCAAAACCAACTGCAAAAAGTACTCCTAGGGAAAAAAAACCAAACACACACAACAGAGGCACAAAAGCGGAATGGAGACTAATTTTCAAATATCAAAGAAAAGGCTTGGGGAATTCTGGGGGATTAAAACAAGAATGCAATGTTGCTGCAAGAAGAAAGACTAATTCTAGGTTGTATTCGAAACTGAGAAACAGACAACATGGAGGTAATTATTTTGATAAATTTGGCACTGGTGGAGCCTCTAGAAGAATATGGCGTCTAATTTTGGATGTTATATGCATATTTACACAACCACTAAAAATTGATTTGAAGAGGGGCAAGGATGACTCATAAACTGCTTAGAAAATGTAACCAGTGAAGAAAGATTGAAAGAATTGGTCTTTTCTCTGGAAAAGATAAAGCTGTTCAACAAAATGACTTCAGAGTCTTGTAATAGATTGAAAAGTTGTCTTCCAAGAGACCTGGAGGAAGGGCAAAAAAAAGGAAGGACAAGGACCAATAAACTTAAAAGATATAGCAGCACAATTCTCTAATTCCTTCTCCTCAGCACTGGTGAGGCCACCCCTGGAGTACTACGTCCAGTTCTGGACTCCATGAGAGAGACATGGACAGATGAGGGAGTCCAACAAAGGGCCACGAAGATGAAGAAGGGACCTTTCTGTGAGGAAAGGCTGAGAGAGCTGGGACTGTTCAGCCTGGAGAAGAAAAGGCTCAGTGGGACCTTATCAATATACATGAATACCTGAAGGGAGGGTGCAAAGACGGAATGGAGACTAATTTTCAAATATCAAAGAAAAGGCTTGGGGAATTCTGGGGGATTAAAACAAGAATGCAATGTTGCTGCAAGAAGAAAGACTAATTCTAGGTTGTATTCAAAACTGAGAAACAGACAACATGGAGGTAATTATGATCCCTCTGAACATCAGGAAACACTTTTTTTATTGTAAGGGTGACCGAGCACTGGCACAGGTTGCCCAGAGATGTTGTGGAGTCTCCATCCTTGGCAATACTCTAAAGCCATCTGGACACCATCCTGGGTGACTGGCTTTAGGTAGTCCTGCTTGAGCAGGGATGTTGGACCAGATGACCTCGAGAGAGGTCCCTTCCAACTTCAAACATTCTGTGATTCTCTAATGGTAACGGTACAAGCTATTGAGGTTGTTTATTCTCCCTCACTGGAGTAAGAAATTAGTGAAACATCACGATTACAGATGATAAACTTTTGAGATATTGCCCAGTCCCATATCCTATAGTTCTATAAAAATTGTAGAAATTATTCTAGAAATTACGTAAATTCTACTAGAAGAATATGAAAGCTACATGTAAACTATGTTTATACAGCAAAGGTACTGCTTCAATGGGAGAGCTTTTT